ACCCCTCGCCGGCCACGCTTCGACACTGCCGGCTTCGCCTCTTTGTAGCTGGTGTCTTGCGTTTTTTCGAGCCGCTGCTTTTTCTCTTGCAAGAAGGTGATTCGGAGAGTGAATGAGGAGTGTTTCCATTTGAATCAAGCTAAGTGAGTATCACATCATATTATGCTCTGTAGGTGTGCGAGTCTTTCTACAATTCCGTTTAGTCTAAAACATGTTTAAAGTGATTTTCCTACATGGTGTACAATGTAAAAGAATGAACAACAGAAGTGTTTCCACGCTGATATTCGTTGTAAAGAAAACGAAAGGAAACAAAATGTAGAGATTAATCGTGCTCTGTTTCTATTCGAAACCCGTGTTTAGGGTGTGGTGTGGTCTTGGTAGATTAAGGGTTATATAGAATAGCGTCGGCATTAATTGTATGACCTTTGAACAACCTTCTCTGAAACATTCAAACTGCTTTAGACACTATTTTTAAAAGTAGATCCGTTCTATTCAATTTTTTAAAAAGAGACTGCATAACACCAGAAGCCAGGCCCATGGCGGCCACTGCGATACAGACTTTGATCAAATGTCCTGGTTCACTGCACTAAAAGAGCCCCTGTGTCTGCGGAAATTCTCAGGTGGACCTACTATCGTGGTTTTGGAGCTTTCCATTGTTTTTCAAGAAGAAAAATATAGCCTATCTTTTATGTTGAAAACCAATGCTATTGCAGTAATTCACAGTCAACATTACGTGTTGGCTGAGCTAAGTTCTTTTTAAAAAAGTACAGCAACGTTACCTCTCATACCAAATGAAAGTTAATTGAATGCCGAAAACGATTGAGGTTTGAGCTTAGACATGTTCTGGAAGTTGCTTAACGTCTCCAAAAGGACGAATATATTTGGATGGGGGCTATACTGAGTAATTTTGTCAAGGGGACTGTAACCGTTCGATGGAATCAGTAACCTAATTGTATCGATATCGTAAAAAAGTGCACGACTCTCATAGTGCGCGGCTTTGATTTTTTTTTTTCGAAAGTACTCGGCTCTGATAGTTTTCCTTACAACGTACGCGACATGTTGGCTGCTCGTCGATCGCGGGAACAACAGATGGCAGTGTAGGAGTTTTCGTCGGGGAATAGAGCAGGTTTTGAACAGCACGCTTAATTAAGGAAAGAGAAGCCAAGCGCACATACTCGTACGATGAAGAGAGGAGGGCCATTGAGACAGTTGTAATCGACTGGACCAAGGAACAATCAGGCAAAAACCGACTCTGTCACATTCGCCGTGTTTAGTGATAGTCAGTCGCTCTGCCTGGCATTCTCGGCATCATTCTACACTCGGCAGCTTATGACATCGACTCGGAAATCTCTTTCAATGGACAATCCAAAGTAACCCAGGCCACAAAATTCTTGGGAACAAACTGACTGCTAGTGTGATACATGCAACTTGGTCGCTATCTTCACTGACAGTCAATCGCAGAGCATGGCATGTGGGAACATCACCATCCCTCGACTAAATGCGACTACACATTTGACATACATAATACAACACCTCCACCATCGCTTCAGTGGAGCCCTGGTCATTGCGAGATCCTTGGCAACGATCTTGCTGACTGTAATGCCAAACAGGCAACAGCGCTGCCGGGCCCAGGCCGCCATATTGCATATAATATGAAAGTGCGTGTGCCCAGATATAACAGATAACAAAAGACCCTCCCATATCCCACACGCGGACGAAGGAAATATACACGGCAATTTGGGAGGCTCAAATTAGGTCCCGCAGCGACTAGTAACTACTGGCAAAATTCAGGGCCGGTCACTTCTCTGAGCTGCGGGCCTACAAAAATAGAATAGACAAAACATCAAACAAAATCTATCCATTGCGCAGCGAGGAGCCCCAAGATTTGGAGCACTGGCT